TGGATGAAGACAGATTTAGAATATGCCATGCTGTATCAATGGATGAAGGCAGATTTAGAATATGCCACGCTGTATCAATGGATGAAGACAGATTTAGAATATGCCACGCTGTATCAATGGACGAAGACAGATTTAGAATATGCCACGCTGTATCAAGAAGAAGGACAATTTTAGTATTTGTCATGCAGCATCAATGAATAAGAACCAATTTAGTACATGCCACTCTGTACCAATGATTAAGCACAAATATAGTATATGCCACGCTATATCATAATGACGAGACATACATGTATACATGTACACACGAATCTTTACAATAGCGGATGCCAGTAACACCAGGAGGACAGCAGAGGCATATATTTCTCTGTCAGTTACAATGTATTTATCTCAATGAATGATTCCTCTGTCAGTTCTTTAAGGATAGGTTTTTCTCTCGGAGTCTTTCCAAAGGAAATTTGTTTAACAGTCAACCAGACATTTAGGCCTAATGACAAAAAGTACAAATCACTTTACCTTCCAGTTGTAAATAGTACAATAGTAATTGAGTGAGTGATTGAGTGGGTTTAGTTTTACCCCGATTTTAGCAATATTTCAGGAGTATCATCGCGGGGGACACCAGAAATGGGGTTCACACAATGTACCCATCTGGGGAATCGAACCCGGGTCTTCGGCCTGACGAGCGAACGCTTTAACCACTAGGCTACCCAACCGCCCCTACAATAGTAAATGAATTAAACTCACTAAAACGGCAATGTGACCTGAAAACACGTGTTTTAAATAAACAAGGACACTGGGGAATTTACTTTTCTGCTTTGACTGTGAAATATTTACAAGGTCCTGTTTACATTGATAGTAAGAACGACAAAACCCTTTCCATATTCATGAGAAATACCGAGTCTATTGTGCAATTTCGACTATAATATGAGCATGCGTTTATGAAAAACTATCAAATAACGATTACAACAGGTACCCGTCACGAAAAAGTGGCACCCGTCACAAACACAATAGACAACCGTACACTTGAAAACACTTGAGAACATATGTCAAAAGTCAAAATAGTGTATTGGGACAGCATAGTGGCTCGTCGTCACGCCGAAAACGAAACCTTTGCTGGAATATTTCTCAGTGTCCCCGTCGTGAAACTTTTGCTGGAATATTACTAAAAGCGGTGTAAAACCATAATCACTCAATACAAGTCAAAACGGAATAGGACGTCACTTTTACCACAGATGCTTCTCATCTGGAACTATCTTCCATATATCTCATGTAAATATGACACATGTAAAACTCATGAGGCCATGAATGCTTTAACCTTGATCAAGCAGCATTTTAGCAGGAGTCATTTAACGGTCTCTGAAGTCTTGGTGGAAGCAGCTTGCTGTATCTGGTACATATTCGTTTGGTCACAATGCATGTTACATTCATTCTTAATTTCACATCAGTCGATGCCAGTGACACCATGGAATTAATATACTGTCTGGTGACGTCTGTTTGTCTCAATGAAAGACCTCTATCTCGCGTCACGAGCAGTTTCTCTCGGAGACATGCACCGCAACACAAATATTTTTCATATTATCAATACTAGTATGTTACCATTAAACACAGCAAAGGAACTTATCGCTGACGGCCCTTAACGTCATCAATTTGCTGACGTTTTCAGGCCAATCGGCTGATAGTCGATTGATGACAAACCAACATCTCTTGCAAGAGACCTCGATGACATCCCAGCATTCCGCATACCATTAACTTGCCATTATTTTGCAGTTGTCAGTTGAGAAGCAAGCCCCACATTTGCTTATCAACGACGAAATCAACTGATTTTCTATGTTATCGATCTGTGAGAACAGTTTACTGAAACTTGATATTGGCATAATGAAGGGTAGACTATTGCACGCGACGCTCGCCTTTGATCGTAGCATGTGCATATCTAAAAGCAATGTATGGTGCCCCCGAAGGGTCATAATAACCTAACAAACAAACATAATTATGACATGAAAATATGTGTCTATATGGGGTTTAAAAATTAGGGCTGTAACGATACATCGAACTATCGATGGATTGCAATTGTTGAGTCTCCGATAGCAATTAATCGATGGTAGACACGAAAACTATCGATGCATCGATAGTATGTGTGACTACCGATAGTTTAATAATTGACTTCCGTTGATGAATTCTCAATCCAAATGGGTATTTGGATGGTTATTTATTTTTATTAAATATTTATGTTGTTTCGTATTTTTTATTGTTTGGGTGCAGACTTGCATCTTCATTGAGTTTATGTTTTAACTGTTTACTTGATCTGGGTTTCAAGTTTCTTGTCAGTTATTAATAAAGACTGAAACTACTTCAACTTGTTTTTATTTCATATAAACTATACTATATAGGAAATGACTTTAAATGAGACAATTTTAGGAGAGAAAAAATATTGCAATGGTATAGGTATTGTAATGGTTGGTCACAACAGACTATCGATATCGCAATAGTATGTTGCAATAGACTATCGATATCGCAATAGTATGCATCCTCGATAACTCCAGGGTATACGTTCCGATAAGCCTCCACTATACACCCTAGCGAAAGATGATACAAAAGGGTGTGCCAAACATAAGCCTCTCACACACACATACATGTACGTAAATTTACTCACACAGCTCAGACATAAAAAAGGGTAAGGAGACTAAGAGAAGATCTTCCTAAGGAAGGGAGACGTTCTCATCAGTGCTTTTCTCAAGGGATGAATTTGTCCTCCACAAAACTGCCGTCATCCTCGTCCTCGTACACCCAGTAGTCACTTTCATCGTCGTCATTTGTGAGAGGGTAGTAGTCGACGTGGTTGATGGTGACGTGGGCGGGAAACGTTTCACCATAGACAGGGGCGGGAGCAGAACGGAGTGAAGACACTCAGGGGGTCGGGGGAACGAACAGAGGACACAGCATGGGAACGCTATACATCGAGAGGAGGCAGGGAGAGGTTTACGCGAGAGTGAGAGTGACATCAGGGGACTTTCACACTATACTGCAGACAAATCACACTATACTGCAGACAATGGACATACTTACTTACAAGGAAACAGCTTAAGGGGACTGAAGATGTTATGGAGTGCATGTAAAATACATACACAGTCGGACTCCTCATCTTGAGACGGCCACAAACTCAAAGCCGCAGGAGTACCACAATAGCGAATCATGTCCTCCCGAGTTGGAAAAGATAAGCAAAGTTTCCTTGAACGTATACGACGATGGCTGTTTTTAAACAAGTTACGTTTATTTTGAGTTCCGTCAAAACACATTTCACACAATATTTCATGAGTGTGGCATTTATTAGAGTCGATGATACAGATTTCTCAAGAACACATCAGAACAATCACACACATCAGACATACAGGAGTGTGTCAGTGAGTTTGGTTTTATACCGCTTTTAGCAATATTCCAGCCATATAACGGCGGGGGAAACCAGAAATGGGACTCACACATTGTACCAATGTGGGGAATCGAACCCGTGTCTTCGGCGTGACGAGCGAGCGCCTTAACCACTAGGCTACCCCACCGCCTCAGACTCAGGAGAAAGGTCTGGCAGAGAGTTCGGTGTATTACAATTTCTAGTATGGTCAGTGATACAAAGTAAACTGTCTCTGGTGATGCATGAACACACAGATTCCCCTTGCGTTATTCAGGAAGTAGTGTATATATGCGCGTCTGGACCTCTGGAAAGTCTGAACGGTTCAGTAAAATGTTAAAGCGGGAACTCTTTGGTGTGCGTGAAGTTTTGTGTCAGGTTTATCATGGCCTGATCGCTTGCTTTGTGGAAAGTCCAGGCTAGGTGGGTTGTTTTGTTTTTTGTTTCGTTTTTGTTAGTGTGGTTTTTTTTGGTACTACTGTGGTTTGCAGGATTACAAAATACCAATGAGGAAAATCTGGTATACTTTTAAGAAAACGAAACACATTGATCAACTGGTCTGTAGGTTCAGTTTGGGTTGAAAATTCCTGGCCCTCCAGAATATTCTACTGGACAACAGTGATATCTATTTAAAAATCAATATACCTTTCTATCACCATACCATATCCTTATATGTGAAATGGCAGATATGAATATCTATAAACTACTGCGACCCTACAAGGGTGTGAATATTGAATTCTGCTTGGCCGACCAGACCATTGCCTGCATACTACAGCAGGTCCCCGGAATAGAAGCAACGTGCGTTAATGTCTGTTCACAATGTGTCTTGGGGGAAATCTGAAATTGGCGTGATCGAGGGGAGGGCACTCTTGTCCCCATGTCCGTCACCCTCTTGTCAATGGAAACGAATAAAGCGCCCGTAATATATCACATACGGCAACACTTTTAGGTGTTCCTCCAAAGAAGAGTGACTTGAGTTTTACGCCGCACTCAGCAATATTCCAGCTATATGGCGGCAGTCTGTAAATAATCGGGTCAGGACCAGACAATCAACAGCATGAACATCGATTTACGCAATTGGGATGGCGCTTATAGTCACTGAATATATTATTTTGATAGAAACAAATAATTGTGTGTTAATTTTAAATAAGCTCTAATGAGAAGGCAGATTTAGAACCCAAACCTCAGGAAATCTGTTTCGTTTAGGGCTTTAGTATTGCAGAAAGGACTAGGTAGAAGGGGAAATAATGAGGTTCTGCGGCTGTGAGACAGAAACACAGACCCGTGGTTTATCTCACAGGCGAAGTAGTTTAAGGGGCGTATCCCATGCATCGATCGCCTGTGGTTTATCTAGGGTTTGAACGGTAAAACACTTCACCACAAGATTTTAGAAGGTCCCCGGCTGTAAAGTAGGGTCATGTCTGGACTGTCGGACCCAGCCACGGTTCTCGGTCAGTCGGTCCAGACTGAGCTACCTACTGGCCGCACTCCTTGAACAATAATATTTCTGAGTTTGGAGCCCAACAACACAAAAATCTTGCTTTGCTAAAAAACAACACAACCCTTTGGGGGCCTCTTACATGGACTTCCGGGTCCGGGGCATGCGTAGATCACAATTTGGCGCGAATGGCTGTGTACATGAAAACAAACTGATGCCTTGACAGTCATCATTCACATCAAATAATGGTACATTTACTAATTTGATTATAGAGCCAACAAGTTAGGTGTTGAATACTTTCACGGCTCACTGGTCAGACCGTGTCTCGTTAGGAAAGACGGCTTTATGCCTTGCTTAGATTGTCCGACGGTAATTGGTAATGTCTTACAGTTTTCGTTCATACTTTTGCTTCATGTCGAAGTGTTTATTCATGATCGACTGTGGTTAAAACAACGATCAAACTTAAAGGGAAGCTGCATATGATGAAACAGAACTATTTCGGCAGTGTGGTTGAATATACAGCAGCTTCGAGACTCCAGTCCGAGAAATGTTGTTTTGGTAATTTTGCCAGGCTTGTATTCTAGTAAAATATACTTTACCGAGATGTGTTCAGGAGTCTGTTGCAGGTGAATATATGAATGAGTTTTGATCTTTTAAAGCACAATGGTAACCATGATTAAATGCTTTCTAAAATCAGCAAAATACAATGTGTAATAGCAGGGAGACTATATGTTGTAGATTATCCCTGGTAATAGTCACTAGATTGTCTGGTCAAGACTTGATTGTTTACTGACTTCAATCATGTAACTGGATTATTGGTGTTTAACTGACAAAGACATTAGACAAAATCACTCGGGCTAATGCCAGATTCTGTACCTGATAATGAAGTTTTCTCCCTATCACGACAGTGTGTATTGAATGGTAGACCTAATGCCTGTGGTTATTAAAATTGTGATCACTCGACAATGTGAGATACTAACTGATTGTCAGTGATGATTAAAGATCAGATAGAGCTAGAATGAGGAAATATGATGGATAGTATATCATAGTAATACTTTTTCTTTCACATTGGAACATCTTCAGACTTCATTCACCTTGTTTATTTGAAACCATGAAATGTTTGAATAATATATTTAATTATTACGCAAAAATGATTGCCAGTGAGGTTAGTTTTACCCTGCACTCATCAATATTCCAGCTTTATGGCAGCGGTCTGTAAATAAAGTGTGGGCCAGACAATCCAGTGATCAAGAACATGAGCATCGATCTACACAATTGGGATAAGATGACATGTGTCAATCAAGTCAGTGAGTCTGACCACCCGATCCCAACTCTTACGACAAGCATGAGTTACTGAAGATCAATTCTAACCCCTCCAAAATTTAGGTGTAGTAAGGAATCATATTGCAGGATGACTGAAAGATGATATCTACTTGCCCTAGAGGACAAGTTGTCTAGTTGAGGAATTTTGAAGTATGCAAACTCAGGATATACCATGTGTACACAGGACTAGTGGCTACATGCTACAGAAGAGGATGATTGGACAAGTTGGTTTCTGGTAAAAACATGCTACCTGTATTTCTACTTTTGATGATATTTTCTGTTCAGGATATAAGGAATTTCTTTGGCCCAGTCGGGGTAAAGAAAGGCAAAGACACTGGTAATGATGAAAAGAAGAAACATTTGTCAGAGTCCAACAGGAAAGGCTCAAGGAAAACGTCTACAGAAAGAAACTCCAGAAAAGACAGTGGAGACTCCCATAAAACTGACACAAAAAACAAGAAAAGGAAAAAAGAGGTAACAAGTTTATCTTATAATATGATAGAATATATGATGATAATATATGATACAACATATTGTAACATCTTAACACCAGCCTGTAAGCTATGGCAAATAATCCCCCGGACTAGATTAACCAGTAGTCAGTAGTATCAACATGAAGATATCAGTGTTGTTTGATGTCACAAGATATTTCACAGCAGTCAGTGTCACACAATGTAACACAGGCGGCCTTGTTGAGTTTCCTGGCAGTTAACAATTCAGTACTTTGTCAGAGTTACTTTGGATGCCCAGATTAATGCCTGCTTCCTGAGATGGCACTTTCATGAGTTAGTAAAATGGTTATTCTTTTTGCACGATACAAGAACAACGTCATTGTGTATATTGTCATTGCAGAGCACGACTGAAGAGGAAGCTGATGCCGAGGATGTTGTACACAAGAAGGGAAAACCGAGATCCAAGAAAACACAAAGAATAGAATCAGGTGAGTGTGATCTGAATCTTTCGATGTTGTCGTGGTAACTCTATTTTCATGCCTTGATGCAGCATATGTGCTAACAGCATATGAAAATGACCACTGTAATTGAGAAGTCCTGAGATGTGTAATCCCAAATATAGTGTATGCTAGATACTACTAAACATCTGAGATAAATTCATTTTAGAATTGTCTCTCAACGGGGGCTATTTCAACTATATTCCGTCATGATGAAACTACTCCTTCGGTACCTATGGCCTTACTTCAGTTTGAAAAATGTTTTGAAATACAGTGGAAACCGCCTAAGTAAAGACCACTTAACTAAACAGACCCGATAAGTAAACACTTTTCTTTGGTCCCGGCAAATTTCTTCATTAATTATCACTATTAGAGTCCTGTTAACTAAACTCAGATAAGTAAACAATACCGCTTAACTAAACATCTTCTCACGGTCCCTGGAAGTAGATTACTTAACAAAAGAGACCGGATAACTAAATTAGTGATTACCACATAATCTGACATGAGAGGCACGTGTCAGTCTCCAGTTAAACAAACATCCTACTTACAGCTCGCTGGCGTCATGCAGTTGACAGTACACTGACAACTGGAGGCCAGCCCTGATAAGTTGTTCATTGTTACATATGCATACATATATACATGCATATGGTTGTCATTTGCTGGTTTTTATAAGTTTGAATAAGTAAAATACCTGATAAGTAAACAATTATGGCGAGTCCCTTGAAATTTGACTTATCAGGTTTCCACTGTACTCAGCATAGCAAGGGTACTGATCCTGAATACATGTCTGATCTGTTTCACTTTTTCAGATTCGGATGAGGAGCCAATTCCAAAGAAAAACAAAAAGAAGAAGGAAGCTGTTGTATTCATTGATGATTCTGGTAAGACCGATAACTTGAGATCTGAATATGGATTTGTCCAAGGACACAGTACTAACAGCTTTATTTCTGGTGTTATGCTATCATTTCCACAAATTATCCAGCAAGAAAGTCATTTAAAAATGGCAAAAAATACAGAACATTTCTGTATTTACAGATGAGGAAACTGATAGACCCAAGAAGAGATCATCATTAGATGGCTTTGTGACAGTAACACCACCCAAACCTAAGCAATCTAGTGCTAAAACTCCTGAGGCAAAGACACCAATCTCTGCCTCGGATTTCTTCGGAAGTAGTTCTGTGCAGAGGAGTGATCGCAAAATAGCAGCAGCAAAGAGGAAACAGGTGGGTTTTCATTATCAAAATATAATAATGATATTATATACAGACAGAAAGTGTGGCCCCTACAGCAACAAGAGAGTGATACTTACTGCAACATCCAAAGTGTTCACAAAACAAAACAGACCAATCACCATCAGTTTTACAAAACATTTCATTGTTTCTCAGTACTGCGATTTGTAGGCTTTGCACTGTCATTCGTACCACAAGTTGAAATTGATGTGCTGAGGAAGGTAGCACTATGTTTTTTAACAAAAACCTACTGAGTTTGGAGTGGTGCAAGAGTTGCTAAGCATAAACAATGAAGGAGTGAGTTTAGTTTTACACTGCACTCAGCAATATTCCAGCTACATGGTGGCCTAGTGGTTAAAGCGTTGGCTCTCTTGAACACCTCGGTTCAATCCCCACATGGGTACAATGTGTGAAGCCCATTTCTGGTGTCCCCCACCATTGATATTGCTGGAATATTGCTAAAAGTGGCGAAACCAAACTCAGTCAGTCAGTCAGTCCAGCTACATGGTGGCGGTCTCTAAATAATCGAGTCTGGACCAGACAGTCTAGTGATCAACAGTCTTTGTGACAGTCTAGTGAGTCCATCGATCTGCGCAATTAAGGTACAATGACCTGATCCCGCTTAGCCTGCACCTTCTCTAAATTACTATTAAACAAGCATTGGTTACTGAAGATCAACACACAGATTCCCCCTTGCGTTATGCAGGATGTAGTGTATATATGCGCGTCTGGACCTCTGGAAAGTCTGAACGGTTCAGTAAAATGTTAAAGTTTTGTGTCAGGTTTATCATGGCCTGATCGCTGGCTTTGTGGAAAGTCCAGGCTATGTGTATTTTGTTTATTTTTTTATTTTTTATTTTTGGTTGTTAGTGTGTGTTTTTTTGTGGTTTGCAGGATTACAACAGCAGGTCCGTGGAATAGAAGCAACGTGCGTTAATGTCTGTTCGCAATGTGTTTTGGAGACATCTGAAATTGGCGTGATCGAGGGGAGGGCACTCTTGTCCCCATGTCCGTCACCCTCTTGTCAATGGAAACGAATAAAGCGCCCGTAATATATCACATACGGCAACACTTTTAGGTGTTCCTCCAAGTAAAAGTGACTTGAGATTTACGCCGCACTCAGCAATATTCCAGCTATATGGCGGCAGTCTGTAAATATTCGGGTCAGGACCACAAAATCAGCAGCATGAACATCGATCGACGCAATTGGGATGGCGCTTAGTCACTGAATATATTATTTTGATAGAAACAAATAATTGTTTTTAAACTTTTTAAATAAGCTCTAGTGAGAAGGCAGATTTCGAACCCAAACCTTAGGAAATCTGCTTTGTTTAGGGCTTTAGTATTGCAGAAAGGACTAGGTAGAAGGGAAAATAATGAGGTTCTGCTACTGTGAGACAGAAAAACAGACCCGTGGTTAATTTTATATCTAGGGTTTAAACGGTAAAACATGTCACCACAAGATTTTAGAAGGTCCTCGGCTGTAAAGTAGGGTCGTGTCTGGACTGTTGGACCCAGCCACGGTTCTCAGTCAGTCGGTCAAGACTCAGCTACCTACTGGCCGCACTCCTAGAGCAATAATATTTCTGAGTTTGGAGCCCAACAACACAAAAATTTTGCTTTGCTCAAAAACAACACAACCCTTTTGGGGCCTCTTACATTGACTTCCGGGTCCGGAGCATGCGTAGATCACAATTTGGCGCGAATGGCTGTGTACATGAAAACAAACTGATGCCTTGACAGTCATCATTCACATCAAATAATGGTACATTAACTAATTTGATTATAGAGCCAACAAGTTAGGTGTTGAATACTTTCACGGTTCACTGGTCAGACCGTGTCTCGTTAGGAAAGACGGCTTTATGCCTTGCTTAGATTGTCAGACGGTAATTGATAATGTCATCAGTTTTCGTTCATACTTTTGCTTCACGTCGAAGTGTTTATTCAAGATCTGTAAACACGACTGTGGTTAAAACAACGATCAAACTTAAAAGAAAGCTGCATATGATGAAACAGAACTATTTCGGTAGTGTGGTTAAATATACAGCAGCTTCAAGACTCCAGAGTCCAGTCCGAAAAATGTTGTTTGGGTAATTTTGCCAGGCTTGTATTCTAGTAAAATATACTTTACCGAGATATGTTCAGGAGTCTGTTGCAGGTGAATATGAATGAGTTTTGATCTTTTAAAACACAATGGTAGCCATGATTAAATGCTTTCTAAAATCAGCAAAATACAATGTGTATCTTGACCAGACAATCCAGTGACTATTACACTGTAAGTCACTGGATTGTCTGGTCAAGACTCGATTGTTTACTGACTTCAATCATGTATCTGGATTATTGGTGTTTAACTGACAAAGACATTAGACAAAATCACTCGGGCTAATGCCAGATTCTGTACCTGATAATGAAGTTTTCTCCCTATCATGACAGTGTGTATTGAATGGTAGACCTAATGCCTGTGGTTATTAAAATTGTGATCACTCAACAATGTGAGATACTAACTGATTGTCAGTGATGATTAAAGATCAGATAGAGCTAGAACGAGGAAATATGATGGATAGTATATCATAGTAATACTTTTTCTTGCACATTGGAACATCTTCAGACTTCATTCACCTTGTTTATTTGAAACCATGTGTTCTGTTATCCAGCTTGAACTACAAGAAATGTTTGAATAATATATTTAATTATTACGCAAAAATGATAGCCAATGAGGTTAGTTTTACCCTGCACTCATCAATATTCCAGCTTTATGGCAGCGGTCTGTAAATAAAGTGTGGGCCAGACAATCCAGTGATCAAGAACATGAGCATCGATCTACACAATTGGGATACGATGACATGTGTCAATCAAGTCAGTGAGTCTGACCACCCGATCCGAACTCTTATGACAAGCATGAGTTACTGAAGATCAATTCTAACCCCTCCAAAATTTAGGTGTAGTAAGGAATCATATTGCAGGATGAGTGAAAGATGATATCTACTTGCCCTAGAGGACAAGTTGTCTAGTTGAGGAATTTTGAAGAATGCAAACTCAGGAAATACTATGTGTACAGGACTAGTGGCTACGTGCTACAGAATGATTGGACAAGTTGGTTTCTGGTAAAACATGCTACCTGTATTTCTACTTTTGATGATATTTTCTGTTCAGGATATAAGGAATTTCTTTGGCCCAGTCGGGGTAAAGAAAGGCAAAAACACTGGTAATGATGAAAAGAAGAAACATTTGTCAGAGTCCAACAGGAAAGGCTCAAGGAAAACGTCTACAGAAAGAAACTCCAGAAAAGACAGTGGAGACTCCCATAAAACTGACACAAAAAACAAGAAAAGGAAAAAAGAGGTACCAAGTTTATCTTATAATATGATAGAATATATGATGATAATATATGATACAACATATTGTAACATCTTAACACCAGCCTGTAAGCTATGGCAAATAATCCCCAGGACTAGATGAACCAGTGGTCAGTAGTATCAACATGAAGATATTGGTGTTGTTTGATGTCACAAGATATATCACAGCAGTCAGTGTCACACAATGTAACACAGGCGGCCTTGTTGAGTTTCCTGGCAGTTAACAATTTAGTACTTTGTCAGAGTTACTTTGGATGCCCAGATTAATGCCTGCTTCCCGAGATGGCACTCTCATGAGTTAGTAAAATGGTTATTCTTTTTGCACAATACAAGAACAACGTCATTGTGTATATTGTCATTGCAGAGCACGACTGAAGAGGAGGCTGATGCCGAGGATGTTGTACACAAGAAGGGAAAACCGAGATCCAAGAAAACACAAAGAATAGAATCAGGTGAGTGTGATCTGAATCTTTCGATGTTGTCGTGGTAACTTTATTTTCATGCCTTGATGCAGCATATGTGCCAACAGCATATGAAAATGACCACTGTAATTGAGAAGTCCTGAGATGTGTAATCCCAAATATAGTGTATGCTAGATACTACTAATAATCTGAGCTAAATTCATTTTAGAATTGTCCCTCGACGGAGGCTATTTCAACTATATTCCGTCATGATGAAACTACTCCTTCGGTACCTTAGGCCTTACTTCAGTTTGAAAAATGTTTTGAAATACTTAGCATAGCAAGGGTCCTGATCCTGAATACATGTCTGATCTGTTTCACTGTTTCAGACTCGGATGAGGAGCCAATTCCAAAGAAAAACAAAAAGAAGAAGGAAGCTGTTGTATTCATTGATGATTCTGGTAAGACCGATAACTTGAGATCTGAAAATGGATTTGTCCAAGGACACAGTACTAACAGCTTTATTTCTGGTTTTATGCTATCATTTCCACAATTATCCCGCAAGAAAGTCATTTAAAAATGGCAAAAAATACAGAACTTTTCTGTATTTACAGATGAGGAAACTGATAGACCCAAGAAGAGATCATCATTAGATGGCTTTGTGACAGTAACACCACCCAAACCTAAGCAATCTAGTGCTAAAACTCCTGAGGCAAAGACACCAATCACTGCCACGGATTTCTTCGGAAGTAGTTCTGTGCAGAGGAGTGATCGCAAAATAGCAGCAGCAAAGAGGAAACAGGTGGGTTTTCATTATCAAAATATAATAACGATATTATATACAGACAGAAAGTGTGGCCCCTACAGCAACAAGAGAGTGATACTTACTGCAACATCCAAAGTGTTCACAAAACAAAACAGACCAATCACCATCAATTTTACAAAACATTGCATTGTTTCTCAGTACTCCAATTTGTAGGCTTTGCACTGTCATTCATACCACAAGTTGAAATTGATGTGCTGAGGAAGGTAGCACTATGTATTTAACAAAACCTACTGAGTTTGGAGTGGTGCAAGAGTTGCTAAGCATAAACAATGAAGGAGTGACTTTAGTTTTACACCGCACTCAGCAATATTCCAGCTACATGGTGGCGGTCTCTAAATAATCGAGTCTGGACCAGACAGTCTAGTGACAGTCTAGTGAGTCCATCAATCTGCGCAACTAGGGTACAATGACATGTGTAAACCTAGTCAGCGAGCCTGACCACCTGATCCCGCTAGTTGCCTCTTACAAACAAGCATGGGTTACTGAAGATCAATTCTAAGCCAGATCTTCACGGGTCAAGCATAAACAAACTCGTAATACACTTCAGATCTATCCTTTTTGAAAGCATCAACATGACCCAGCATTGCAGTGCCATATATTCAATGTTGCTTTAGTTGTAAAATCTGGAGACGCGGTTCAGGAAATACGCTTTTGGTACATCTAATTCAAGGGAGGTAACTCTCATTTGTATTTATTACTAAATTCTGTATAAAGATAATTGCTTCCAGACAGCAACACCTTAGAAATAATGACTAAATGATGTCAAATACCTTTTTTTCATTTTCACAATGCTGATAAGTATTTTTGTTTTGGGATTTGCAGATGATATTGGGCATTTTAATGCCTAGAACTTTGAAAATTGGAAATGAAATGCCCTGGCATTGAACATTCCCCCTTCAACTGCAAACCTCTAAATACATGAAGTTTGTCTACTAAATGATGACAGATAAAACTGTTAAAACAAAACCTAATTAAAATAGTGTACAGTACACAACCCTGTGCACTTAAAAGAACCCACGAATCGGTTGGTATATGACCAGATGGTTGCCACATGAATATGTGCAAAGACCTACTGTAGTCATGGGTACAGCAATGTGCAGTGAAATTGGACAAAGTACTGTGACTGTGTCCCAGTCCACCAGGCTGTGAATGGGTACCTCATTAGGATGAGAAAGCCACAATAACTCGGTGCGCCTAGTGGCTGCAAGAGTTGTATACTCCCCAGGGAGTTGAGATTGATGAAACGATGTGACGTTGAGATTGACATCCAATGATCGAGGGAACAAATACCAGCGCCTTGAGCGTGCATTAGTTGCCTGGATATTTGCACTATATAATTATCCTATAATAAAGAACTTTGAAACAAAATAGTAAAAAACACTGTTGCAATCATGCCACTTATACATCCCTACATATTATGATGAGGTGGTATTGTTTGTAACTTCATAGTCGACTGAGAGAAGAAATTCCAGTGATGTAGAGATGCATGATGACGATGACTTTTCGAAGACTCTGTCCCAGCTTGATGACGAAGTGATACCCAAGAAAGTAAGATTTGCCATCTTTGTTAAAAGTGTAAACATATTTATTCAAGGTAATTGGGCCTGTAAGTCTTGCGAGGTGCTACTTCTGGTACTAAGATGGTTCCCGGCTCCCTTTGCATGCACCATCTTGCGATCTGCGTGACAGGGCCCTGCTTACTTCCAGTACCAGATTTCCAGTGACAACTTATATTCAAGAACCAGTTCTGGTTCCAAATTGCACGGCCGCCAAATATGATTTTACTGGACCGGACCAAGTGTACAGCCATGCTTGGCTGTCACCTCTGTTGACAGTCATAATAGTTGGCTAATTTGGGGATGGTTAGATCGGAAATTTGCTATTCCTGCAAGGATTATCGGTTCCTTGCTGTCAACTGACAACCATGAGACCATTTGTAAAGGTATGAAACATTTGTCAAAGGAAGTACTAAGGTCTCGCGAAGTGCTGTGACCTACTTACGGGCGCTATAATTATCTTGAAACTTGAGCTGGCAGGCATTAGGCTTTTTTTGACTTCACTCCCTCTCAATGGGACTCAATATGCCAGTGTTTTGTCTGCAGCTAATATATATATATATATACGGAACTGTACTTTCAAAGCCGCTAGTAAGCGCTTTGCGCTACCGTATAGGTCCGTACATTCGCTTCTCAGGTACACATTTTGAACAAATGTGTGGACTGAGTGCAATGTGGACGAAGTAAGTGCCTTGCCCAGGGACACAACACAGTATGAGATCCATATATATTTATTTATGTGTAGCACAGTGGTGTAGTGGTTACCATGCTGGCCTCTCACGTCAAAGGCCCGGGTTCGAATCACGGTGGAGACACCAAAATTTGTGACCTGAGCCTCATACTGTGTTGTGTCCCTGGGCAAGGCACTTCGTCCACATTGCACTAAGTCCACCCAGTTTAAAATGGGTACCTGAGAAGCGAATGTACGGCCGCGCAAAGCACTTACTAGCGGCTTTAAAAGTATAGTTCCGTCAGGGTAATAATGTAACGCCAGAGAGCAGCATTGTGTTGGATTCTAGTTGCAAAATTTATCATTATTATAATTATATTGGTGACTGCCAACTTTCCATGTTATATTGGTGACTGCCAACTTTCCATGTTTTTGTCTGTTTTTTTATATGTATTATATCAAAATGGAGTCTGCCTTTGTTAAAAATTGCTTCAAGATTGTGACTGTCAACTTTATATAATTGTTAATATTCAACAATTATATACATGTTTTTTTCTTATCCTGACTCATGATCTTTTGCTTATCTCCCTTTCCCTTGCAAATGGTAGTGGAACACTAGAATCCCTTGAAGTTCCCGAAGCGGACGTAAAAATACACTCACCCACGAGTTACCTCCCTTTCCCCGCGCAAACAGTCATGTGACCAGCCTTACTTGTCACTCTCTCCCTTTTCGCCCAAGTGGATGGTTGGGCGAGCACTGGAGTCCCGTATACCGAATTATATCCTTTTTATTTAGATCCTATTCTTCAAAATTACGCTGTGTATGGATTTGGCAATAACTACTATGTATTATATGTAAAAAAAATGTAAAAATTATTTGTATTTGTGTCATAATTTCATCGTTATGTAACTTTGTTTACATTTCATGAAATCATGCGTAATGACGACTCGATGACTATTCCTCCGATTGAACCTATATCCAAGGTACCTTCTAACCTACGCACAGCTTTGAGAAAGCTGCAGACATCTAAAAGGTTCGAGAAGTCTCAGATCTACAGGCAGATAACAGCAACGCAGACATCTACCGGGTTCACGAACCCTAGGGTTAACAAACTCTAACATGAACTAGCAGGATGTTGACGTCGACTCTATTACCATACTGAATAAAACGAAGCAATGATGAAAACGGATGGTTTTGTCAAAGTTTAAAACTCAACAAAAAGATCTACAACATGTGCAATCTCTACAGTTTACAGCCTGCACAACTCTACAACCTGCACAAATCTTACACCTGTTATAGGTTCAGTTTCGGACGACAACCTACTTGATGAAAGGAATCCCTTCATCTACACGGATGCTGAGGTCTTATACCTGGTAGCAGATGACCTGCGGATATTATCGTTCACTCACTCACTCCAACCCAACAGGGACGTACGGCATATACACTGATGACTTCGACTCCAATATGAGCGGCGTAGAATTATGCGCGCTTTAACTCAACAAACTTATTGCACCAGAATTTATGGAGGCCAACTTGCTACGACACCGGTGACCTCATGCTTGAAGCTGATTGGTCCATGTCAGACAATGCCTCCCATTGACAGAGCAGGCACCAGCAAGTTTACTGACAAACTCGTGATACTGGGGAATACTTCATCGGCAGCCTTGGAAACAGTATACAGCTACAGCCTGTTCTCATCATGGGAATCTTCACGCCAAAGACCCGGGTTCATATCCCCACATGGGTACAATGTGTGAAGCCCATTTCTGGTGTCCCCCGCCGTGATGTTGCTGGAATATTGCTAAAAGCAGCGTAAAACCAAACTCAGTCAGTCACTCAGTCATGGGAATCTAATAGATGTCTAGCCTTGCCAGCAGCATAAACAATGTTTATTTTGGAAGTTGTCGCTGATAAAAGTCAGTATGAGTACCTGTCCCCTGCGATGCTACACTGGAGCCAGCCTTGCTATAAATAGACAATGCTTCGATGTATGCTGATCAACACAGATCGCCTGAGTATATCGCCGGTTATCTGGACGACGGCATACAGGTTCTTCAAAGTGCCAATCAACTCACACAGCAGCTGAAATTCACAATTATGTTGCTCACGCAACTAGGATGGCTAGTGAACCTGATGAAGTTGGAGTTAGAATCAAACAAGATCTTCAATTTCTGGGAATAAGAATTATCACAACACAGAATCGAATTGTGGTCCAGAAGATCATTGGGGCAAGATACAAGCCATGATTTCACAAGCAGTCATCTCTCCATTAACACTACGAACATGGTAATGTCTACTCGGTCTACTAACCTCGGTGCAGGACTTGACTCGCACAGGAAGGTTACAACTAAGGCCGCTGCAACCATTCCTGACAAAACATCTAGACAGCGTCGACCCTATTTTGCTGCCAGACAATCTTAAAGAGGTACCTACTTTGGTGGACCCACAGGTCGAACGTCTGCGGAGGGACCTATTTACAAGAGCCGGCCTTTGACACACATCTCTACATAGGCGCATCGATACAAGGTTGGGGTGCACATCTCAACAATCAAGTTGCATCAAGGAAGTGGTCCAAACAGAGCATCATTTTCACATCAATCTGCTGGAGATGAAAGCTGTGATCAATGCCTTGCAACTATGGTCGAGCTCGCTGATCAACAGAAAGCTGATGGTCCACACGGACAACTCTACAGTGGCATTCTCCATAAATCGGCAAGGATCTACAAGATCACCAAGCCTGCTACAGCTCACATCCCAGTTGTTTGACATCACGGAGGAGTCAAACATCTGGATAAAGGCGTGTCACATACCCGGAGCCAAGAACGTGCTTGCAGACACTCTCTCCCGACCACTGCACCTGTCACCTACGGAATGGATGCTCCATCCAGAAGCATTTCGGCTCATCATAAGGGCAATAGGATCCCCTTGCATAGACCTGCTTGCCACGAGGTTCAACAAACAACTACAGACGTTTCTCTCACCAGTTCCAGATCCTCAAGCCTGGGCAACAGATGCACTGAACATATCTTGGGAAGGACTGAACGCTTATGCGTTTCCACCACTGATATTACTACCGAAAGTACTGTTGAAGAGCAAACAGACACAGGCGGTACAACTGACCTTAGTCGAGCCATACTGGCCAGCGAGAGTATGGTTCCTAGACCTAATAGAAGATCTCGGAAGTCCAACAATCAAGTTACCAGATTGGCCGAACTTACTCATACATCCGCACACCAAGCAAGTCCACGGAAACCCGACACTGTTCCAGCTACACATGTGGACTGTATCAAAACATGTTTGAAGAAAAGAGGATACTCCGCCAGGGCAGCCAAGGCAGTAAGGCTAGCGTTACGTAGATCTACTCGTAACTTGTATGATGACAAGTGGCTGAAGTTTGAGACTTATGCAAGGCTCTTCAACCATGTTTACTCAAGGGCATAAGTCCCTACTCTTCAACCATGTTTACTCAAATGCATAAATCCCTACTCTTAAACCATGTTTACTCAGGGGCATAAATCCCTACTCTTAAACCATGTTTACACAGGGGCATAAATCCCTACTCTTCAACCATGTTTACTCTAGGGCATAAGTCCCTATTCTTCAACCATGTTTACTCAAATGCATAAATCCCTACTCTTCAACCATGTTTAGTCAAGGACATAAATCCCTACTCTTAACCCATGTTTACTCTAGGGCATTAATCCCTACTCTTGAACAATGTTTACACAGGGGCATAAATCCCTACTCTTAAACCATGTTTACTCCAGGGAATTAATCCCTACTCTTCAACCATGTTTACTCTAGGGCATTAATCCCTACTCTTCAACCATGTTTACTCTAGGGCATTAATCCCTACTCTTAAACCATGTTTACTCTAGGGCATTAATCCCTACTCTTAAACCATGTTTACTCTAGGGCATTAATCCCTACCCTTCAACCATGTTTACTCTAGGGCATTAATCCCTACTCTTAAACCATGTTTACTCTAGGGCATTGATCCCTACTCTTAAACCATGTTTACTCTATGGCATTAATGCCTACTCTTAAACTATGTTTACTCTAGGGCATAAATCCCTACTCTTAAACCATGTTTACTGTAGGGCATAAATCTGTACTCTTCAACCATGTTTACTCAAGGGCATAAATCGCAGCTCTTCCACCATGTTTACTCAGGGACATAAATTCATGTGTTACAGTTAGTTAATACCAGCATTTATGTTACTTGGACACGGTTCAGTAGTTCATTAATGTATGTTCAGATATTTGTGTAGTATTCTTAGTATCCTATGACCACGGTACTCAGGATCATATAAGCGACTCT